TAAAAAGGTAATAAATCTGGTTGTTTTATTACTTATTACTTCTTTATGTAATAATTTTTCATCATTTTACTTATTACTTTTTATTACTTTTCTTCGTATCAGTCATAAGTAAAGTAATAAAAGATTACTACCTGAAAAAAGTAATAAGATCTATTACTTGTTTCCAGGTAATAACTAATACTTTTTATTACTTATCCATTGGTAAAGAACAGTAAAGTGACACCCCTACACATTACATACATAGCTGGGTTATTATTATATAGATAACCTTCATAAAAGATATGAATTAAAAGAGGAGAAAAAAAAATGTTATTTGGAAATGTTAGCAAGTACATAAACTCATGAGGTAACAATGACTTCAGACTAGAATAGTAATTATTTATACTAGTTCACTAGATGTTAAGCATAACTTGCCTGGTAAATTTTTAAGAAAGCAATTACGAGAACAACTTGTTCCACTTCTTTCAGAGAAATAAAACCATCCTCTTGCTACTTAATAAATAAGGACACTAATATATATGTTTTTTGCGTAAAACTTAAAAATACTTTCAATCAATGATTGTCTCTTGAATGCCTTTTTTCCTCAAATCTACATTTATCTTCTCCATCGAATAAAACTCTCAGGCAAGGGCCTCGTTTCCTTCTTCAGTGGGCGTGGACGAGGGCCCCTCGTTCCCAGGGGTGGGCGATGGACGAGGATCCTCGAGTGGCTCCGCGATTTCTCACGGGGCGGTCCTCACGAAGAAGATTTTTTGAAAGCTGGATGGGGCACGGGGCGATGACGAGGCGAGTCCCGCAGGGACATTTTTTTCTTTTTAACGAACGGCGAAATGAAGACGCTGAACGGAATTCTTTTCAGTTGTGTTATAACTTTATTGATTCATAGTAAAAAAGAGGTCGGCGACAAGGTCATTTTAGGCCCAACGTTTAACAATATGTGTTGAGATAACAAGGGAAAGAAGGAGATGACAGTAACAATCGAATATAAAAATGAAATAAATAAACGGTAAACTATAAATGATAGGTCCTGGAGATATGGTGGATTTATGGCTTATAAATAGAATTAAAAAGAATTAGACATGCTGTTAGTTTCCAAATCTTTTTGTTTCGGCCTATGAATTGAAATCACTCTGATGCCTTCCAGTAAAATAGTTTTTTCAGGAAAAAGAGATATTTGATGGATGTTGAGTGAAGGTATCTGATCAAATAAAAGCTTCCAACGATACGAATATTAAGTATTACACATTTCGATTTTATAGAGGACATTTGACTCGATTTAACTCTTTATCAAAAAAGTCAAACTAAAGATCGGAACAATTGTCATATTTTTATCAGGTAATGGGATGCTCTTATAGTATTTACCTTAGTTGCACTACTTTACTCTTGACTATTGCTACAGAGTAACAAGAGAGCAAGAAAACAGGAATTAACGAATTGTTTTACTTTTTGCACATAAGGGCAAAGAATGGATGAAACGGACGACATTCTTGATAGGTTATTTGATCAAAGTAAGGGTGCGATCGGTGATGGTGATACCGAAAAAGCTTTAGTATCATTGACGACCATTAGAGAAAAATTACAAAGCAGATGGTCAAATTACCGAAAATTAGCTGATGATTCGACAGAAAAGCTGCAATCGGTGCCAGTCGAGCTCTCTCCTACCACTGGAATCTCATTGAACGTTGATGTGTCAGATAAAGATTGGATCGAAAAATACGCTTATTCTTTATCTCATGATGACTTGGACTCAAGCAGACTTAAATTAGAGGAATTAAGTTCATTAATCGATCGACTATTCAAACAAAATATCGAATCACTAAGTGAGTATTTTAACATAATGAGAAAATGTGTTAGATTACGAACAGTGTTAAGGTCATTGAGAGACAACATAATAGCTGTGAAGAGTAGCGATTTGGAACAATTGAATTTACTTATCAGTTTGGACAAAAAGATCACAAATGGAGTTTATGAACAAAAAGGAAGATTTGCAGAAAGTCTATTGAGAAACACTGCCCTTCTTTTTGCCGGTATCCCACTGACGAGGGAACGCATTGAATTTCATTGCAGTCAATTGATAGCTCTATTTGATACGAGGACGGTGGACGATAAGAATAAGTATCTATTCGAAGATGTTTTAAAATGTTGTTTGACTAAGAAAGAAGAGCTTTTAAATGAATTAGAAAATCGTGTAAATAATTTACGCTATTTGGATTATTATCGAAACGAAGGAGAAAAATTAATGAGGGAGGCGGAGGAAAACAAGATTAAAAAAGTAAAATTAGCATTAGCGTCGTATGAACAGTATAGAGCAGCAGCAAGAACGTTAGATAAAAACGGAAACATACTTGAAATAGTCGAATTGAGAAAATGTATGGCAAAATCGCTTATTTTGGCTGATGAGTTCGATGCAGAAGCTGAGCTGTACACTCTAGCAGCAATTTCAATTCTTCTGAAAGCTCAGGAAGAAAGGAGCTCAAATGTTGGATTAGAAACTCGAGAAGATTTAGTCAAACTGTTGAAAAGTCTACAAGAAAACCATAATGATCGAATATCGGACGATGCCATAGAGGATAATGATAAACTACAGAATTATGTCGATCGTAGAATTCGTAGTCTAATGCTGGAACAATATTTGTCCAAATCAATGAAAGACGGGCAGAATCTGGATGAGTTGAAAACAGTTGAAAAATATCCAACAATAGCTCGATTCAAACATCTTAAAATACCGACAATGTCATATGTATTTGAAATTGGTATAAATTATCACGTCACTGGAACTTTCTCATCTTCCATTATTGAACGAATGTTAAATGATCCAATTTTGAGCAGTTATGCAGTAACACATTTTCCTAAGGTCACAAAGAGATCAAACGCTCCATCTGATCACTCCCGATATCATAGCGATTCGGCAGATATTGTCAATGAACTACTTGAGATTGGTGAAAAACCAGAGAGAGTAGCTTGGTTCCTGATACTAAAAGGGTCCTCTTTACTGGACATATCAGAAGATCCGATAAAACTAGATATTAACAATGCTGCAAACCATTTTCTTCAAGTCAATTCTCGTCTTGTTGGTCAACAGCGCGGTACACGTACGGGTATCAAAGCACATTCATTTGTTAATCTACTAGAACTTTCTGGTCATATTGCTCAAATAAGCTACTTTCTATTGAAAATAATCGAAACTCAGAATTATGACTATACAATTATTAAAACTATTAAGGAATCTATGAGTGATAATCAACAATTTTTGATGTTTTTTGACTTGCAAATTCAAGCATTAGAAGATCTGCTATTTGCTTTTGGTTATTTCGACGACAAATCGTTTTATCCATTGTTTATTCAGACGTTAAACGAGAATAGTAAAATAACTTCCCAAAGATTAATTGTTTCAGAAATGAGTGAATCATTCGTACAGTTGCAGGAAATACCATCATGTAGTTCTACCGGGGTCATGGATGAAAAACGATTGTTTAATAAGATAGTTGAAGCATACAGGATTGGTAGCCCGATGTTTCAAAAAATCATTGAGAGATTTCTGATGGATAAGGTCGAAAATATCGTGTTAACAGTTAATGCTGGAGAAAAGTGTATCCATCTTGAACCATATCAACTAAATTTTCAAACAATTTTGCCATATAAACATAGTGATGTATGTAGACATATGAATGAGTTCGACTATTTACCAAAATATTTACCAGAATCACTAGGTTCCGTTTCGGTTACGATGGAACCCGATTCAATTCATGGACATGTACTGGTTCCAAGTGAAATTATGAGACAGTTATGTAATGATCAAACTAGAGAAAATTATTGTGAATTTCAAGTAGCTATCTATGTTCATTTTGTAACAGTCGAAACGAACAAAACTGTTTCACTGTTTATCTTAGCTGAGCCACTGTTGAACTATCTTGATGCACAACTTCAAATGGTTAATGACAATGCTTCGTCTATTCATATTTTAAAGGAAATAGCGCTTATTCACCTTAATCGGGCTTTAAACCTTTCCAATATTCATCAGTTGGATGCTTTGCATGAATGGCATAAAGCTTTTGATTCTTATAACAAAATTTTTGGCATATGTCCGACGGATAATGTAGCTATAATTGGATATGCGAGATGTCTTTTAAATTTTGGTAGATACAAAGACGCTCAGACTTTCTTAGAAGACAAACGTATGATAAAAACAAATTCTGCTGACATATCCTATTTGCTTGCGGTAGCCAAGCGTAAACAACGATTGTATAATGATGCTCAGTTGAATATTGAAGACGCCCTTCGTGTGGATAGTAATCACAAAGAGGCTAAAGCAGAAGAGAATGTAATACGTTCATTACGAGAATTTTCATCGTTGAGAATTGAACAGATAATTGGACGTAGTAAAACATACGACGAATACAATACAAAAAGCACAAGTAAACATTGTTCTTCGTATAACATTCTTTCAATTGATGGTGGAGGTATACGTGGTGTTATTCCAGCCATATGGCTAGCAGAAATTGAGCGTCGAACCAAGAAACATTGTTCTGATATGTTTCAAATGATGGCGGGCACATCTACAGGAGCTATCATAGCTGCTGGACTTGCTTGTCCAAAGCCCAGGCACAAAGCCTTTGACATTGTTGAACTTTACACAACTCAGGGCTCGAGTATATTCTCACGTGTCAGCTGTTCCAAGACCTTTCAAGTAACCTTAAAAGCGGCACAATACACAAATGAAGGTCGAAGCAAACTCTTTAACCAATATTTTGGTGAGACGAAGCTTTCGGAAGCTTTGACTGACCTTGTTATAACATCGACAAGAGCAGACAGAAGTGTTACATGTTTATCTACTAGATACGATGGACGGCTCGATACAACACAAAATATTACGTTTAAAGATGCTCTAATGGGTACGTCGGCTGCTCCAACTTATTTTCCACAGTACGACTTGGATGGACCGACTGTTGATGGAGGTGTGCAAGCTAATAATCCGTCAATGATTGCTTACAAAGAAGCCATACGTTACCATGTAAATAAAGAGAATGTTTTTATACTATCACTTGGTACTGGTGATTATATACCGCGTCGGCTACCTAGCAATTCTACTCGAAATGTGGTGTTTTGGTATAAAAATCGTGAATCAGTTATGAAAGCTATTTTAGATGCACCACAAAAGAACAATGAACAGTATCTGAGTGTTGCACTCGGCAATAATTATCGTCGTTGGGAAGTTTGGCTAGAGAAGCAAGTTAAGTTAGATGATTATAGCAAAGAAAATATAAAGATGTTATGTGAACTTGCGTATGCTCGCGTCGAAGAAATGGAAGAATATGATAATAAGAATAGGTTGAGCCTTTTGATTGAGCGTTTGACAGAAGAACATATGTGAATGTATATGTCCTCGTAAGTAAGAAACATGAATTGTATTTCTTGAAATTTGTATAAATGAACATCTTTGTAACCTACACTATCAATGATTTTTCGTTAAGTATGTTCAAGTCAAGTCTAAAGGACACCCGTTTCTTGGTCTCATTGATCCATTTTGTCTCATAAAAACTGTATGCTTTGTATCATGAAATGTTATTCGATGTTCTAATACAATAAATGCTGAAAAGTAGTACTTCATCTTCAGTTGGAAAATTAGAAAATTGTTGTATTAGTCGTCCAGTCACGCTGCGACTTCTGTTTTCGCACTGACACTTCGAGACCGTCTTTCGTGTCATTTGCATATTCTAAGACTGATTCGTGTAGTTTACTGTCCGGATTTGCTTCCACAGTTATAAAGTAAGAGATAATTGAGAAACAATTCGTAATACGCCATCCCATGGAGATATTTTAGTAGGTACCGTAGGTATGTACAAGCCGTAGGTATGTTTAGGTATGTACACGCGTGAATATCGTGAAATGAATTATGGTCGCACGTGAACATCGTAAAATGGTGTGTGGGCACGCGTGAAAAATATATTCCACTTGTGACAACAGGTGAACTGGTCACGAAAACGTTTCGCGTCATATTTTTCGCACATGATCACAGGTGAAGTCGTGAAGTGTATAGTAGCCACACGTGAATATCTCATGTTAAAATTTTCGTAAAAAATATCACTTGTGGACACGCGTGAAAATGATTCCCACTAATTTGATTGTGAAAAATATCTTCACATTTATTCGCACGTCAGTGTTTCACGCAACTCATTTCGTGAATAATATTCACGCTTAACCGCAAGCGACAAAATTCTTACGTTTCACGCACGTCCACGTGTGAAACCTTTTACAGGTGTGAAATGTCGTGAAGATTGAGCGGCAAGCATAAATACAAATTTCTCCTATATCTTTCGAAAGTTGTATATACATACAGATGAAAACCTTTGTTGTAGACCGAAGGTATTTTCTGTAGGAACATGCCTGGGAATCATCTTGTTCCCCGGGAGGAAGTATTAACTAAAATAGTTTGGAAAAGTTGGAAACTACGAAAAAAGATTTGGAGGCTCACGAGTAATCACGCGTGCGAACGTTTTTACACGTAACTCGTGAAGATTGATTCGACAAGTATGAATATGAGGTTTATTCAGTAGTTTCTCAGGCAAGTTAGCTCAACAGTAGTATCGTAGATTTCTAATTCAAAGTACCCTGGTTCGACTCTTACTTTGCGGTGATACATATAAAATGTGATATTTTAGAAACTAGTGGTCACACGTGAAAAAAGTTATAGATGAAGTTGCATTGATAAAGACTGCATTATACCTTGGCCATGGTGACCATCTATAGTCAGTCGACTATAGATGGTCGGCATGGCCAAGATTTTTTCACACATAATCATGCGTGAAGATTGTTCACTTGTGTACACGTGTGAAGATTTTTCACGCGTGGCCACGCGTGTGATGTTGTAACAACACGACCAAACCGTTGTGAAACTTCCTGTCTTTACCTACAAAATTTCGTGAAAGTCCAAGTTGACATTTCGCGGTCCCTTACGCGTGAAAAGTCGATAAGATTTCCCCATGGGATATACCTTGAAAATAAAGAATAGAAACAAATCATAACAAACTAAAATAAATGATAATATCGATGATAATATCTACCTAATTCTAAGACAGTTTTTGGATCCCGTTTTCTAACTTGCTCGTCTAATACTTTTCTTTTAATATCATCAACATTCATCAGCGGATGACGAGTCCAGCAATAATGGTCAGTTGAATTCAAAGCACTTTGGATATTTTCTAATATAAACGCATATGCTATAATGACGCTTCTTAACGAAATCATATTAATATAATTTATGTAGGTATGGTGGATCAGACAGCCGAACGTCGGTGTTAGATAGCCAAAGTTTAGAAGAGAAAGTGGCGAAAGTGAAGACACTTTCAAAAACTTTGTGAGAAGCTGTACTAGCATTAGAACGTAGTTTTCTTAGCATTTCCTTAATTTTCTCGAATTTTTTAGAGAACTTTCCTTCTTTTCCCTCATTGCTAACAATGATGCGGCTGCAGTATCCTTTCCAATTTTTCCATGGATTGATATGAATTAGCTAGTCCTTTCTATCCGATTATCGATTTGTACAGCCTCGTTCCGTATCTTGAGCAGCGATGTGTGTTTGACTGCGATCTTTTGCAGTGTATCGTCAACGAGTGGAACAGTAAAACAATAATTTCAAATTTAACTAATTTTTGGAAAAAATTGTTTTCTCCTGTTTTCGATCAATTAAAATCATTTTCTTCAATCCTTTACAACGTACAAGGATTGTCTAGTCGACTATCTCAAGTAGAGCAAATGAGTAATTTTAATTCACCCACCATTTGTGCTTTAGTCGGAACGGGTTCTATTATTTCCGGTTAGGAACAACTATTAGACGAATTGAATTTAAATGTCTCCCCTATCGAGTCGACATCTAAGCGTGTATCGAACTCAACTAATATTATTAACTTGGTGATAACATTAGAGAACTTATTGTTAGATGTAATAAGAGGATCATAAAACAAACCAAATGCTTTTCAAGAATTACAATCAATGTGGAATCCTATCAGACATGTCTATATTGGCAAAGGTCCATACGAACACGATGCCTTAAACGATAATGGTATAAAACTGTTATTTCCAAATGCTACACTTTTAGGATGAGGATAAACATTCATTTAGGCCGTTTACGCTAATATTACTAAGTTTCTACAAGCCGAAGTTTGCATTTGTTTTGAAAGAAAGTAGACTTCATTAATGAATAAACAACCACTTATTTTCATCGCATTTAGTGTATCACACGTTATTCTGAAAAGAGTGTTCTGCATTATATTTTTTAATGGATAATAGTTACAGAACATGAAAAAATCAACGCTCATTTGTGATCTTCAGTATTCATTCACTACTGAAAGTGGATACCAGAAAACTTCAAATATAAGATGTAAACATGCAAATAGAACACGGATTCATACGATAAATTTGTTGCCTCGATATTGCTCATAATTTTGTCTCATTTGTTATCAACTCCATATGAATAGTGAAATAGATAACCACCGTTCTACACTGGAAGAATTAAAATGAGATAACAAGCACATGGTTATTATCATTTGAAGTAATTCTAAAAAACCAATATCTTACAGATGATCTGGATGTTTTTGTAGAGTCTTAAGAATGAGAAGTTAGTAGATCTCAGTGAGAATATGAGACAATAAAATAAAATTATTTTTTGTATCCAAATACAACATACATCGGATCGAAAAAATTATCTTGCTGTTTGATATTATCAAATATGGAATAAGCACATAATGTTTGATGATTAAAATCAGACGACGATAAAAAATAATTTCCTACCCAGTAAACACGATCTATTTCCGACATGTATAACCAACGTCCAATGACTTTTGTTGAAAAACATCGATTACTAAATGATGTTATAAAGATGCCACCTGATTTAAGTATACGTGATATTTCTTTAAAGACTTCAAGAGGTTGAATGAGGTAGTCAATACTCATTGAACAAATAACAGCGTCGAAAGTGTCAGAAGAATAATTTAGTTTTGGATCACAATTCAAATCTTGAACAGTATAACCATTATTCAATGACGGATTATGTTTTAATTCTAATTCATTCATTCCGAGTCCATGAACTTTACCTACAAAAACTAAGGATTTATGGATATTTTAACACTATTTTTTTATCCATACCTATCCAATCCTGTGGTAAGTGAGATGTCCAGGATGAACATATATCAAGTGTTTGTGTTTCTTGCTGTTGTACAATCATATGTTTATAAAATCTTGATAATATGAAACGTGCTCGATCATCAATATGATGAACAAATCGTGGTGTTGAATAAAAATTATTGTCGCTCGTTTCATCCTCACGTAATAGATCTTCTTTCTGAATTTTATACGGAGGTTGTTGAACCATCGTGGAGAGTAAGTTTTTCAAATTTGTAAAATCAATTTTAGCATAAATAGAATTTAAGAAATCGAATGAGTAATTATTAGTACTAGTAGACATGCTCGACGAAATAGATGTGAGTTGTGGATGTAATAACTTTTTAAACATGAGCTGAGTTTGTTTATATAAGAATTATTTTTTATTTCACATATTTAGAGTAGTAATATATAATATATCTGTGAATAAATGTGAATGTGTAAATGATATAAAAAATATTATGAATAATGCAGTACTAAGTAATTTTCAACAGGTGCGAAGACTTTTCCTCACCTATCAACGGGATAATCAGGGATTCAGATCTTCTAATTTTGGCAGAAAATTTCTGATTTTATGAGGATTTGAACTGAAGCTTGGCTCATAGCCCATGTATCGTATCACATTCATATCGCTTTCTGTTCCGGTAGTAGGCACTGGACAATAATATCCCAATAGTTCGTTATAAGTCTTCCTTATATAGATCCTTATTTCAGGAACTGCTCACTCTTCGATCGATTACAGTAGCCTGCCAGCTTAGACATACTTCGTACATACGAGCGTCCGAGAACTGGGAAATATTCTGAAGTTTTCCGTACTTTGCGACATTTATGGTTTAAAAAGGTATAATTATCTGAGCACCAAAAAATTCGTACTCTGATTTTCATCTTTTGGATCTAGGATCCCTGGGGGTAATACATACAAAAATCTTGTATTTAGCATCGGACGAAGAAGAAAGCTATTAGAGGAAAGAACGCCGTCTTTTAAAAGTAAAATCGCTGAGATAATTCTCTGCAAACATCCTAGATCTTCCCTTCTTTTTCCCAACATAAAAGAGTCACAAACCTAGAACGCACTCTAACACAGACTTCGAAGGATAAACCAGACTTAATGATGAGATAAATCTTATCTATCTGACCATATCCAGACTATAAAAGTTAAGTGAGAAACTCGTAACAGTATTATGGTGTGTCATTAGATGAAAAGTTAATTCTGACTTAATCATAAGTCGTCGTCTGCTGAGCTCGATATAACTAATATTAAATAAAGTCACCAATCGGAGTTAAAATTAGACGGCCATTGATAAATTAGCTATAAACCTTCACAGGAGTACAGTACAACACGTCTGAAATCCATCACCAAAATTTGCACTGTTTGCTTTTCTCTCCATACAAGCCCATCTCCAAACTTAAAATTCGCGGCACAAAATAGAAAGCCTAGTGGAATTTTATTCTGTAGGGAGATTTATTACAATTGCCGCTAGTTTTCAGAGCGGATGTGTACAGAGATGTCACTAGTGTCCTTCGGACAGATGGACATTTCGTCCCTAGACATTCAGTGAAGGAAAAAATGATTTTAAGCATAAAGCCTGATGTTTTCACTTCCCTTGTTAAGGGAAATTAACCAGATTCACGTTACTGCGGTAGCATAAAAACTGTTTCCATGCAAAAATATTCCCCAATACAGTATCCATAGTGTAATCAATTTGCCTATTTTTCCTCATTCTGAGTCAAATTCATGCTTTACACGAATATGTTTCTGTACAATAGACTGCATTCTCAGTAAGAGAACCGATTAGTTAGCCAACACTTTTCACCATTTTATCAAGGTCATAAAGCACAGTGGGCATTTTTTTGCTAGAGCAGGCGGACTTTAGCTTTATGAGTGAACTAAAATTTCATGAACCATTTTTTTATAGGTTTTTCATGATCCTCTTTCTAATGGCATGAGAGTTGGGCTTTGAAAAGCTTTTTTAAGGAGTTTTCCAGAGATCCAGTCTCTGGAAAACCCTTCAGAAAACTTTCTCAATATTTAAAAATGATGCCACTGGAAAGAGCATTGTCGAAAACCTATAAGAAACATGTTTCGAGTCGTTCAGGTTACTTTATCCTTGGGTTTGGAGACAATCTTTAAAAATTTGGAGACAATCTTTAAGCGTTCTTAGTTCAGAAGAGGACACTTTCTGACAGTACACAACAGCAGAAAAGCTTGCCTCTGACAGCTCGAAAAACTGAAGTTAAAAAGAAATATTTTTCTGTCAAAAATTCATTTTTTAAAGTTAAAATATCTCGATTATTTTAAACAATAAACAAAATTTTTTTTCACTTCGGTAATTAATTCAATTTCTTGAAACCGATACAATAAGATTCGTCTTCTGATATAGTACTTCATTGTTATGTTACATTAATTCTATCAACGTTCCTTTAGAGAGCTCATTTCAAAGGGTTAATTGTAAAAAAACAAAATAGTGTGTTTACACTAGGACAACGATTTTTTTTTATCGTTCAATATCAGACAACTTTACAAGTTTGACGGCATAATTTAAATCATAAATACCATTTCATTCATTATTTGATATAATTGATTATGGGAACGAAAAAATTTTAGAATGGATGTTTGGACCCAAATCCCAAAAGAAAAGACAGCGTCGGAACCTCACCCCATACCGAACTTTTTAAATCTCCCCTCCCGTGCCAAGACACGTCGAACGGACATATTATACGGCCCAATATTGTTAAATTTGATTAGAGATTAGAGGGAGTGATTGTCACACAATAACTTTTCCCCTGTACTAATCTTACTCAACCAATAACTCCGTGAACTATTGGACTGTTTATAAGTGCTCTACTGAATGATATTTATTTATCTAGTTAATTTTATTATACAGTCTCTTTTGCAGTAAATCGATATGGTATATGACCTTTACGACAAACAATAATCATTTCAACTTCACATAAGATTGTATTAGGCTATTAGGTTTTGATGTTACCACTGCATGTTGCAGTCTTTTTGGTAGTGTTAGTCAGTACATTTGAAAAAATGAGAATTAATATCGGTAAATTCCACTGAACATACTAAAACATATAACTTTGCTCATTTCGCAACAGCCAAGAGACTATAGAACACTATACATGTATTTCAACAACTAATTCAATTGAGCGTTACCACAGAAAAGGAGAACACATAGTAATACTTTGATATACTTAATCAATCAAACGAGTTCATTAAACCTTGCAGAAATAAAACGAACTTGACTGTACCTTGCCTACGGTATTATTGTTGCATAGAACTATCCAATATGCGCTCGTTTCTCATAGAACAATGATTAAATGAGATTTTCGAAGTTATTATGAATTTACCGTGACTAATGAGCGATTTGACTAACCATAATGAGTGATTTTGTATTTCATAGGCTCAAATTTAGACTCAACTATAATCCAATCATTCAACTTTATTTATAAAAAAAAACAAAAATGTATAGAATGAACAATATCAAGTATAAAAGTCTTATTTACACACATTCATTCTCTTTTTAAGATTCTCATATCTCTCGTGTGTGTATTGCACAATGAGATTCATTCAATGTGAACGATCACCAGTCACCCCCACCGAAGTCTCCACCACCGCCGAAATCACCGCCACCCATATCACCACCACCAAAATCGCCTCCACCATAATCCCCGCCGCCATAATCACCCCCACCATAATCACCACCCCCATAGTCACCAGTATCAAATCCACCACCCGTATCTGAACTTCCGCCATAATCGCCAGTACCGCCATAATCGCCGGTACCACCGTAATCAGTATTCGTATTATTTCCATAATCAGTATTCGACGTATCATTGTTTTGATTTTGATAGTCATTATAATTCGAAGTATCACTGTATTGGTTATCCACATTTGAGGTAGAATTATTGGTTGTCGTATCGTTATCGTAATAGTTGTTGATAATATTCGTCGTATCGTTGTCTGAGTAGTTTCCACCACCCCAGCCTGTAATAGAAAAAAGATTTGGTATAGAACTTCATACTTAACATTAACTCTCTGACTAAATCAATTCCATTTTTACCTCCATAACCGCCGCCACCCCAGCCACCGCCATACCCATAACCACCGCCGTGACCCCAACCAGATCCCATTCCCCATGAATTTCCCCATGCATATCCTAGTGCTCCTAAAAATAGAAAATCGCTCACTTTTACAAAAATTTTGCGAAGGGATAGAAAATATCTTGTAATATTAGAAAACAACATTGCTTAGCAAATGAGTTCAGTTAAACATGATTAAATTTCATCTAAATTAAGATTTCAACAGCAGATAGTCGCCTTTGTCACATACAAGCGCGAAACTTATCCAAAAAAGTATTGTACCACAACTGAATAATGGGAGAGTTAACTTTTTAAGTAGTTAATATTTTGTACTTTAAGATGTTCATACTACTAATGACTCTTCGAAAAGTTAGAGTATGGAACTCTCAACACACAAAAAACAATATGATATCGAACCTCCTAGAAGTGCACCACCAGCAAGTCCTAAACCAACTCCACCTAATGTTCCCATTCCACCACCGCCTCGACTATAACCTCCACCTCCACCTCCACCTGAAGCTGGTTGAACGACAACTGTTGTATGGTAGTTTGGTTGAGCGGTTACTCCCCCCGCTGGTTGAGCTGAGTATTGATAATTTGGTTGTTGTGGACGATATTGTGGTTGTTGCGGACGATATTGTGGTTGTTGATTTAGATTTGGATATAGCGCCTGCTGTTGTTGAGAATATGGCTGTTGTTGAGGATACTGCTGAACTGGATAAGCTAAATTGTCAAAACCAGATGTCTCATTACATTCAAGAATTTGAAAAGTGTCCTACCTGGTGGTGGTCCACTGGGTGGTGGCGCTGAGGGACGAGGCATATTTCCTTGTTGTTGTTGTGGTGGTTGTTGAGGTGGAGGCGGTAGAGTCGATACAATTGCTTTCATCCAATCACTAAAAACAGAGAAAACATTTTGTGAAAGAAAAATCTAAAATCAGTTGAAAGAAGATTAAAAAACTCAGTAACAGATGAGCTCATCTGTGCTAGCACAAAAAGATGTGATAAAACTATTCACAGTGCATGAAACTAGTATACATACACCATCGTAAAGTAAAAATGCTAATAAATATACTTTACAAGTAATCTCAGAAATCACTCAATATTAATAGACGAGAAATATAAATAGACGAGATGCATGGTTTTCTCCTGAATATCAGCCATACAGCAGATTTCAAAATCTTCTGGGCACTGGGGGGGTTTTCGACATGACGAGTCTACTGACATACTTAGTTTCTTCATATTTTATCTCAAAAGCGGCATAATATTAACGGATGATGGTTTTGCCGAAAGACAGAGCATTTAAAACCCTATAGACGTAATAGCTTACCATTGCTTAAATGTTGATGCAAAGGATAATCAGAAAATTTTAGAGAAGTAGCGGGTGGATCGTAAAGA